GTCAGGGAGGGAGGCGCTGAAGGGGATCGAGGGACTGAAGCAGCATTGCAGGAAGGTTGATGGCAAGAAATAGCACTAGCCAGCCTGGCGGCAGGGCCGGAGAAGACAGACAGCCCCTCACTCCTCCCGGGGCAGACAGTGATAGCCCAGGGTGGCCCTCCCCAGCCACGGACACCCTGGGGCCCAGGGCTGGCTCTGCCCTGCACAGGAGAACACATGGGGACGGGAGAAAAGGGAGTGTTAGGGGCAGGCAACTCTGTGTATTACCTGAAGGAAACATCCTGGGTTAATAGGTCTGTTACTGAGCACATAGCCCAGTCCTGGCCTGCTGGATGCCAGATAGAGCCAAATTTGCCTGGACACCTGCCCGACTTTGGACTGGCAAAGGATATTCATGGAACCAGCGCTTATACCAAGAAAAATCTTGTGCTAGGAGGGATAGGCATAGTGGGCAATTGCCACCCCGCTCACCAATTCATTTTGTGTTTCTTGCTGCTGGGGAGAGGCGCCCTGGAAGGGCTTTGTATTGATAGGAATGAAACCCCACCTGGTCCCAAGTGTGCACCAGCATTGGGACCTTCGAAAGCCCCATCCCTCATGCATTGGTCTCGCAAGCAAAGGCTCAGAAGGAGAACAGGTTGCCCTGTACATGCTGCTTACTGTCTTGCTTTATTGTTTTTCTGACTTTAGAAAGTCATTATGCTGTAAGTGGAGGAGTGCATCTTGGAGTATCCTTGTTAATTTGAGCAACTATTTACTTAAGCATCCAGCATGCTTCCCTTTGCATTATGTATGCAGTGGTATGCCTGCTCCCTGTGTTATAACTGCAGTATTGATTGGTACAACTTCAATAACCTCATTTAGATTCTGGACACTAGCTCAGGGACTCTATCTCAGTGTCTGGTCAATAGCTTATATTTTTAATTTGTCAATAATCAGCCAGGACCTTGGTCTGAGTGCTGCTGAGGTTCTCAGCTCGATGGAGAAGGTGAAATCACTCAAGCAGGGTCATGTTTATGGCCTAAGTTGAACCATGGGAAATGAAAATATCAGTCAGACTTATGAAAAATAACATGCTATATTGTTTTTCATAAACATGAAAAAAATTATATTTATTTAAAGACAAAGATAAGGCACCCAGCTGACAGTGTTGGCTCTCCCTTCTCATCTGAGCGCGTTGTGCCCAGAAAAGTACAAATGGCCTGGAGACGTGCAAGCCGCTGAGTGCCGTTGCTGTTTTTCAGTGAACGCTTGGGAAAAGGAGGAGAGCAGCTGTCTCAGGCCAGGTCTCCCTTTAGGGGGTGAAGGGGTACTACTTTGGCTTTGTTTGCATTTGCTGCTCTTTGTGGCACAGGAAGGGGACATGCTTGTTTTTGCATTAGCGTGTCCCTTGTCTACCGCAGGCTCGGCTCCGGCTGCACTCTGCTAGAGTTTGTGCTTACAGCACGTGCCTCGGAGCCAGCGAGAGCCTCCGCTCCGCGGCGTTGTCTTAAACAGCTTTCTTGTGCCCCTTCTCTTCATTGACCCTCTTTGATTTCATATAGCAGCTGAAAGGCAACTCTTTCAGCCTGGCCTGTTCCCTTAATTAAAAGCAGCAGGGGTGAATAAGGCATTAGGGCCACAGGTGTATATTCAGCTCAGGAGAGCATTGATCCAGCTTGCTTGAAAGACAGCGCACTGAAGGCTGCTGACTCCAGCTCTGTTCAGGGATGGAGCATCTTGAAGATGTTTAAAGAAAAGAGATACAATTTTTAGTGAGGAAGGAAGACTAGATTCCCAGGTGAGCAGTGTGCCCCTAGTACCTTCTTCAACTAATACATAGATGGAATGTTTTAAGTTATTTTAAGGCTTTTTTTTAAGGGTGGAGGATTTGATAGGATAAATGGTTAATATCTAAAAATCCTGACTATCAGACTCTGTATCTATGAACAGTGAATGTCACTATTGGCAAGGTGTTAATAATGTTAGCTTTGCTGTAAGGGCACCTAAGAGATTACAGTAAAGGGAAGAATGCTTTAAGTTGCAATTTCAGCCTGTTAAGAGGATAATTTGTTTTGATTGGTTTCATACTTGTCAAAGATATATGCATTAAGATATATGCATAGCAAGACCAGGGGAATTGAGAAAAAAGAAAAAGCATGGTGTATTCAAAGATAACTATTTTTAAGTATTTTCCAATTAAAAGGCCTTATTAGGCTTTGACTCCATGGACTGGCGTGCTGGATGTTTAGGGGAAGCGATATTGATTTATATCTATTTTTAAGATGGGGATTTTTAAGATTTTTGAGACTTTTAATGGGGTTTGACCCCTGTAGTGGGCTTCCTGACCTGTGAATTGGTCAGGTCACTATGCCCGAGTGTGTGTAAAGGCAGATGTATCAGTGCCTGGGCAGAGAAAAGGGCTCTCTGCAACAGCCGTGAAATAAGTCTCGAAGATATTGTTACTTGGAGACACGTATTTTCGTGCACAATTTGGCTGCAACCATTCAGATATCATGTGTTCAGTTCTACTTGAAAAGGCTAAAAAAAGAGTAGAATAAACTGTTAGAAACCCCCAAGGCAAGATGAGCTGACAAGTCAGAAAATGCTTATGCACACCTGGAGAGGATGTATCAAAAAAATAAAAAAGAGGAATACCTGGAGCATTGATCAGGGAGACTTCAATTACCTTGACATTGACAGGAAAAGAAATGCAGAATATAAAGGGGAAGGGGCAGGGCTACAAACGTGGGGTTGTTTCTTTGCAGAGATATTGTAAGGAATCAGTGGGATATGAAGCCTTTCTGGATGCACCCAAGCAGTGAAGTAGGCAGAGAGACAGTAGATGTGCAGCAATGGAGATAGGGTGGAGTATCTGAGAGGAGTTTGTGCAGGGAGAGTAAAAATGAGCGCTAGGAATGGGCTTTCAGAGAAATATTGGAGGCTATGAAATGAGTTAGAGTTAAAAGGATGGGAATAAGAAGAGAGGGGTGCAAAATGCATTATTGGACAAATAACCAAGAAGGAAAAAGAGCTGAGTACAGGCAGAGTGGGAGGGTTGGCCCTGGGGACGGGATGGCTGAGCAGGAAGCAGCACGCGGTTCCAACCGGCAGGCTGGGATGTTAGCAGTGTCCTGGTGGGATGGGATGAGCAAACCTGCTGGGAAACAAGACCTCATCTCTGCTCCCTTTCCCCTCCCTGCACAGAGGGGAGGAAGAAGAGGGCATGGCAGGGGTGGGAGAGGGCACGACCTTTGCCTGTGGGATGGTGGGCACCTGTAACGTGCCTTGCCTGTGCTCGGTGTAGGCTGGGAGGGACTGCTGTTGGCCTTGGTACCAGGATCTTGTGGTCTTAAATGTGCTGATTCTCCAAACTGCTGGAGGTAGATCAGGGCAGTTACCTTCACTCCACAGCTGGGACCTGAGGCATGAAAAGACCATGGCCACCTTCCCCTCTGTGGCAGAGATGTAGTTGAGCTTCCCAGAGCCCCAGTCTGCTCTCTGCGTGCCAGGACGTCTCTGTCCCTGGCGCGGCAGGGCTGCTCCCGGGCTGTGGCACGGCTGGCATGTTTCCCAGCGCCCCGCCTGAGCAACAGCTCTCAGCTGGCTCCGTCTCCCTGGGCCTTACTAGAGCACAGCCAGGCCCAGCAATGGGGAGAGGCCCTTCTGCTGAGACAATGTCTGGAACGCGGATGGGGCTTGGCACTGGATTACAGGTCCTCTGCAGAAACGGGAACCCTTACTTTATTGTGGACTTCTGAATTTCCTTCTAAACAGCACAGTGTAGCCACACTAGGGTGCAGCAGATTAATTCTGCTCAGCCCTAAAGCACTGGCTGCCTCTGCAGGAGTAAACCTACTCCTGGCTTGATCCCGTGGGGACGAGGGGGCAGCATGGCTGAACCTGTCACTGCTGCCAGGCTTGCTGGGGTTATGAAGATCCCATGTTGCGAGTGCTTTAAGCACCCTCCGTGCCCACGCGCGCTCCTGCAGCTACACGTCCCATCTCTGCCAGCGGCTGGCCCCCGGGAAACCGCCTGCCTGCTCACCAGCAAAACTGAGCTGAGCAGGGGTTTGCGTTTCTGCAGCTCTTGTATCCGCCAAGGAGCCTTATTCCAGTATCTCACACTTGTCTCCTTCGATTTCACTGACAGCCAATTCTGGAAAGTTGGAAGGTGTGCCATTATCTAGGACTACATTATGAAAGTGTCACACAGGTGATGAATGGCAGCGTTCACAGGCTCCTAAAGAACAGGGAGGGAAGAGTGACATTAGGAAAGATTTTCTTTTTATGGTTTCTTCAATAGGGAGGGTTCTTTGGAGGGTTGTATTTCAAATCAGATAATCAAACACTCCTCACAGCCTCCCAAACTTTGCAAGAGACGGCTGGAGGAATGTCCTAATAGGACGACAAGAGGAGAAGCCTTTTTTCAGTTCTTGCCTGAGCACTGCAGCAAGCTCTTGGATAGGAATCTTTTACTGTCACTACACAGTTGCCCTCATTTTCTGCAGCTCAGAACCTGGTTGTTGCTGCCTGGATCTGTTGCAGGGATGCCCATCCTATGTGTTATGCAGATCCTCCTGGAGTGGGAAGCAGCCTGCTGCAGAGCCAAGGCTTTCTAGCAGGAAGGGTATGTTTGACCTGTCCCTACTGCTATACACGAGGGACTGGAGAGGAGAATGATGGAGGGAAGAGTGGGGAGACTGAGAGGGAGAAGGGAGATGGAAGTGAGAGCTGATGAGCCCCCAAGCTTTGTGGCTTTTTGCTTGTGAGCATCTTGGAGGGACTGGCGAGGTGTCGCCCTTTTGCACCAGGGATCCAGGTGCAAATAGGTGAAGGGATCCAGGTGAATGCCTGCCCTGCGGCATGAGCAGGGCATGGCAGGGCATGGCTCCGGTAGTGTGTGTTATCTTCGTGTGCTTCTATGCTAAGTTATTGACACTGTGAGCAGGCAATTGCCAGAAAAGCCCTATCTTTCTCTTTGTTTCTCCCACAGCAGACCCCTCTCCAGCTTTGGCTGCTCCTAGGCTGGGCTCTGATGTTTCCAGTGCATCATCTTGCTCTTCTCCATGAGAACAACTAATACGGTACGTGGGCATGTCGTATAAAATGATATTTAATACTGCTGGAAATACCCTAAAGACCTATTGACCACGCAATATACTGTGTCAGTGCATTTTACAGGCAAGTACAAAGTGAACGTCAATAACTCCACATGTGCTATTACTACACACATCTCACCATTCAAATAAAGATCCTGCTCAGCAGCTGAAAGCCCAATTTATTGTTTTTCTGTCACGGCAAGCCCAGTACCTCCCGGGACATGAGGAAGGGGACAGGGCTATCCCTCCTGTGCCCACCTCAGAGTGGGCCTGGCAGGATTTTATGGGTGATGGAATGAGAGCTGGGAAGTAACATGCACCCTATTGCTATGTGTTTGTGCCTGTGAAGCATTGCTGATATTAAACAATTAAAAACAGGTACATTAGAGACAGAAATGACCCTAAGAAACCCTTCCAATTTCAGACATTCAGCAGTCTAAAGTCTGGATTGCAATTCTGTAGGCTGTGGTGGTGTGTAGGTTGTGGTCACCTTTAGCGATTTTTTCTCCATTGCGTTTTCCAGTATACTGGAATTTCTTGTTGGGATGAAACAGCTTTTGCTGGTCTATGAGGCTGGAAAGTTGAAAATGAAAATGCACTTCTACAAGTTAAAGTTTACTTGTTTCTTTTCATATATTTATATGTAAACAAAAACATGCTTTACGTGATAAATATTTGAAGATCAGCAGTTGGCTCTGAGACAAAGTGGTTCCCGTTGCCGTAATACGTTTGTGCTGATGGTATCAATAGTAGCCTCTCTTTCGGAGGCATGAAGGGGTAAGAATCCTTTGAGAACAAGCACATGATAACTGTTGAGTTGATACGGGCGTTGGATAGCTGTAATACCTAGAAACTAGTCTACTCTTTACTGGATAATGAAATAGAAAAAGATTTTAAGTAGCAAAGAGCAGCCATGATGCTGAGCAGCAGACATGGCCAGTGCCATGTGGCAGAAACGCAGCGTGCTGTCAGGATGGGCAGAGCCCCTAGCAGTGGATTTCTGCTAGCTGTCCTGCGCGGCGCTGCTGGGCCCACGGCGTGCGACAGGGCCCAGCCTGCTGCTGCGGGAGGGCTCCAGCTTCTCCTGGAGATAATGTAAGGTCCTGAGACTGAATGCTTTGGCTGAGTCTGTCTTCTGTGCCTTGGTGTCGTTTTTGTAAAGTGGATTACAGCCTGCCTTTTCCATCTGGCTCTGCCTGCCTTTCCTCTGGGACTGTAAGCTGCTTGGCAGGCTTATTATAGATTACATAGCATACAATTTAACAACACCTAACTTTAGGTGAGACTTCTCGGTGTGGCTGTGTGCAAATTACAGAGCAGTAACAATAGCATTGATATTAATATTAGGCTGACCTCAGAAGAGCTCATCTAAATACTGGGGGGCAGAGGGAGTGCTTTTCTTCAAACTGGCCAGTTGACAAAGACTTTCACACAGGGATGTCTGAGATCTGCTGGGGATTCACTGATGTTTAAGAAGCAACTCTTAATACATGCTGGTAACATCATTTGCTCTCATAGTTGCTTGTAGGTAAAACCTATTAGCTTCTGTGCAAACTTCATGAAGCTTCTGTTTTTTAGATACCTGAAAATGATAGGATGATAAGTACAGAGTGAGGATACCGTCGTCAATCTAGGCGGACAGAGATGTACATAGAAAAATCTGCTACGGCTGAGATAGCCCTGGGGTGCCTTTTTTTTCCAGCATCTCTTCCTGCTCTCAGGCAACAGACAGCTCTAGAGAAATTGCAGGAAGTCTGCAAGGCTGGCACTTGGCCCCATATCCAAGTAATAAGAGGGCACTTAAAAAGGCTTATTCCTTGTTCTTGCAGAAAGACAGGTGCCCTAGTCTTAGATACTCATACAACTTCCTTATTTAGCAAGACCCAGAACACAAGCAGCACCAGCCATTTCAGATAGAAGAAGCTCTTCTTTTTGTTTTTTCCTCTTGCCTTACGGATATTAATGAAAACAGATTAATAAAATCAAAGACAGCACAATTAGACAGGACATCAAGGAAAAAAATGTTTGCTGTACAATTTTTCAATTTCCATGGCAGTTTTCATGCTGAGAAAATCTGTCTGCGACTGCTGATGAAAAGATAGAAAGCTAATGGATTAAGCACAAGGGAGGTACGTATGAGTGCAGTTCCCTTTGTATTCCTCTTGTACAACGCTTCTGTGCAGCGATACTAACAGGTTCCAGGCACAACAGTGTCCCATGCATTTGTTTGGCAAGCTCTGTAGGATGGTGTTTGCTTAATGAATTGTTGGGAGTGTGGTGTGGACGTTTTTTAAATATAACACTGTAGGAAGAGGGAAGCTGACTGCCACGGCATCTAGGCTCCTGGTATCAGGGATCTCAGTCTCTGGTAATGGCTTTGCTGCTGGAGATGCTGCGGGGGAGTTGTGTGGTGTGGGCTGATCTGCTGTGCCACGGGCTGGCCCCAAGACCTTCGTCTGGACCATGATTTGGCTTTAGAGCTAGCCTTGGCCATGCAGTTCATCTGCACAGGGTCTGGCACGGCCTTCGCTGCCACATCTGTGTACCTTGCAACCCTGCAAGGCCAGACCAGGCTGCTATTCCTGTTTCACAGAGCTGGGGTACAGGGATGCTTTGGGCCAGACTGGAGTTCAACCACTGCTTATTGCTGCAGCAAGGGAAACTGCCAGGCCTGCGAGTGCCTAGCACTGCTAGGGTCCTGCCTGAGCCTGGCTGAAATCCAGCCGGGAGGGACCACCAGGGGAGCCTGAGCCGCAGGTCCCTCGTGGAGACGGTCATTGCCCTTGGACTGCCTGCTCCTGCTTCTGCTCCCCTTCCTGAGGGCACATGACCGGAGGTGAGCAGGGAGCTGATGCCTCCGGGGGAGGTTCCCGGGGAGCCTGGAGTGGTTCCCTGGGTGGCTCGTGTCAGGACGAGTGGCTCTCTGCCTAGTAGGGAAATGCCCCCAGATGGGCTGAGGAACTCTCTGCGGTCAGCACCCTGGGAGGGTGGGCGCTGTGCCCTGGCCAGCCGAGTGCTCACGCAAATTTTGATCAAGGCTGGTCTCTGGAGCGGTGGGTTAGAAGCTCCCTCCTGTTTCCTGATTTCTCCCAACACCATATCATAAGGAAAGCATTTATTTCAACAGTGTTGCTGGGTTACCTCCATTAACCTGGACCCTGTTTGTAACAACTGAGAAAGTCTGCCATGTATTTGGGAGTCTGGGTTTGTTGCAAATCATAAAACGCCCTCAGTGTGCGCGCACACACACACACACACACACACACTTTTTCTTATAAGATTGAAGTAGTGATTCCAGTAGGAATGTTCTGAAGTGCTACTTAAGCTACCAGAAAGGAAGCTAGTCTTCTCAGAAATCAGATCCCAGCTCTGGGAATCTTCTCCATCCTGCAGATCCTGATTTGCATGTTCTATATGCAGCTTGTATAGGGCTTGTTCTATTTGCATAATGAGGCTGTAGGGAGTTCCCTCTCCTTCCGAATCACAGTGTAAATGCAGAGTGAAGGCAATTATATCAGTGTTTACATTTGCCAGAAGATACCTCCTGATGATTTTCTGTTAGGAAAATTCTTTCTCAATGGAACTGCTGGTTGGATTTTCTGTGTTCCTGTTCCTGATCAGTACCTATTGATACCAGAAAGGAGAGGAATGGGGCAGGATTATTTTCTTGATTAAAGCTAAGACGATTTCAAGCAACAGGTCATTTCGGTTGCAATTCTATATTTTAAATAAAAATAGTTTAAAGATGCTGAAAAATCTCAGGCCAAACAAAAGAATCTTTCACTTAGCTAAGATGCTATTAAGCCTCTTTTGCCACCAGGCTGCTCTTGGATGAGCAGGGCTGGTCTGGTTCTGGAGGGACTTCTGTAAATATAATGAATGTGCAATGGCTGGTGTGGGGGCATATTCTTACACTGTATGTGCACTGCATAAACAAGCAACCTGAAGGCTCTGTCTGGCTTTTGTCTGGCTTGTGAAGTTCATCATCTTTGGAGCTAGGGGAGCTGGAATAAAAACAAGAAGCTTTGACCTGAAGGGGGGGAGAAGGGAATTAGGAACTGGTTTTAGCAAGCTAATCTGAATGTATGCTGCCATATGGGAAAAACAGGACAAGGCCCCAGAGCCTAGAACAGGCCAAAGGAAAAGGTGTTTGTGGAGTCTAGCCATGAGCTGCAGTGGGAGAGCCTGTGGCCAGCGCGGGACAAGCTCAGCAGGGCTGTGGGGAAGTGCTGCTGCTTGTGAGGAGTTGGAGAAGGACACTTGCTATGCAATGGGTGAAGTGCTTTTGGAGTTGTAAGCCCCTCCTTGTGCAATCAGTCCTGGGGGAAGCATTCAGTCACACGTGCGTTCTTCTTGTCAAATGCCGAAGCACTTTGTGGAATGATAGTAATTATTATAGCACTAAAACAAAGCACCAAAAGCTTATTGCTTTGGAGAGATCACTAACTATCTTTGTCTAATTACTTGGCTCCAATTAACATTTTACCACAGACTACTTCTTCAAGCCCTTCACTTGGAAGGGGGGGAAAAAAGTGTCAACAACAACGTAAAAGTACAGTAGCCTTGAAAATAGTCTTAGACACTGAACTGGAAAAATAGGAAAACAGTGTGACACTCCAGTGGTGCTAGAGAGGAGCACACTTCACGGAGGGCTGAGAAGATGGCTTATGCAGAAAGGAAGAGGAGTTGATCAAGCTGGAAGAACCCAAAAGACCGTTGGTCATCTGAATGTGCTGAAATCTAACGCAGGCGGAGGGAGGAACTGCCGCTCTGGGGGCCTGGGGACAGGAAGGGGCAGAGACGCCTCCCTTCCCTGTTAGCATGCCTAGTCCCAAATTCTCCTGCAAGTGAATGACACATTTCTGTAAATGTTTCTCCTTATAAACCCTTACAAATCAGCATGACATCAGCTGGCCTGGTCTACTGTTTGGAAAATATCAGGCGGGTGAGAAAAATGAAAGATTTACTAAATATATTATTTTTAC